TGCTAAAAAATGAATCAATTAAAATTGCATCTTCAAGTGACGAAAGCTATTTTGAATTTATTTATTGCAGGGTTTTGGATTGCGATGAGTAGCAATGAATTATGTATGTACATTTTGAAAACTTATCTGTATACACAATGAGAAACTATATGTTTTTAAAATGTTTCCATGAGTAATATTAAATTTTTTATTTTGTTATGGAAGAATCCTTACATAAATTTCGTAAATAATTGGCATATTTTACAAATGCAACTTTTCTGCGGTCCCTATCCACCGCCTAAAAAAAAGTTTTTTGTAGTGTTTCCACGAATTAGTTTGTTATATGTAAGAATTTATTAAATTTTCTGAATATTTTTTTTTTGTGCGTTTATTTTTATGCGGCCCCTATCTACCGCACAAAAACAGGTTCAACCGTTATCTTTAAACATACTTGTATTTTAGACACTAATAGTTGTGTCTGAGCGCTGAAGATGCGAAGGCTTTCTGAGATTTATTAAGCGAATTTGAGTACTATATCCTGTCTTTTAAGGATTTTTTTCGACAATAAATTTACATGGCTCCTGAAGAACTGACTTGCTCTTTGCGACTGATTTGCATAAAATCCTCAAACCCCGGATCCACGTAACAATATCTATGTCTTAGAATCAAGTTTTCGATTATATTGAAAAAATATTCGTTTAGCCCTTATAGCCCTCATTCGTATGGACCTTATTTGACAAGCATCTTCAGAGAGAGAATCATGGACATTTACGGAATTACGAAATAATCTGAAAGATAGCTCAAAAGATAAATTTACAGCTATTTTGCAAAATATTGAATATCATTCCTGGATATATTTAATTGTTTGAAGAGAGAAAAATCCACGTACTCTACTTTCCGCTTTTGCTTCTACATATCCAAGTAAAAAAATCTTTCTTCATATGACAAATATTTCGAGTCCGCAAAGAAATTGTTTAACAGCTGAATGTTCAAAATCGTGTCAAACTGGAAGCAGCAAATTATATCCCTGATGTGGCGATATGAAAGTAGAGCGGTGCAAGCAGTAGGTTCGCGCGTGTTAAAGTTTTTATTTAACTATTTAGTGAAGGGAAATACTTATATATTTCATATTGTCTATTTCTTATTTCAATAAATATGTTTAAAAATACATAATAAATGTAGAATTTTAACTTTTTTATTTTTGTTGAAGAAATAGTTATATTTTATGCCAGTGGCTCTCAAACTTTCAATACTTGCGACCCAATATTCAAACATAATTTTCACCGCGACCCCCTCCATACAATAACAATGTATTGAATTCAATAATACGATGCTTTGATGCTAAAAAACTACGATACAACTTTAACCTCTTAAGTGACACCAGCTTATATAAACGTTTCGTTCAGTCAAAACGTTATTTTCCCTCCGACGTATATATATATAAAGGGTGTTTTTTTTAGAGGTATAGAACTTTAAATTGCAATAAAACAACGATGTATTATTCAATTGACATGAATTTTTTTTATTCGAAACATAATATTATGGTATTACATTTTAAATATGATTTCTGGCATAGGACTGCCACGGCTGGCTCGGATGTAGTCCAATCTGGACGTCCAATTTTCGATGACTTTTTCCAACATTTGTGGCCGTATATCGGCAATAACACGGTGAATGTTGTCTTCCAAATGGTCAAGCGTTTCTGGCTTATCCGCATAGACCAATGACTTTACATAGCCCCACAGAAAATAGTCTAGCGGTGTTAAATCACAAGATCTTGGAAGCCATTTCACAGGTCCAAAACGTGAAATTAGGCGGTCACCAAACGTGTCTTTCAATAAATCGATTGTGGCACGAGCTGTGTGACATGTTGCGCCGTCTTGTTGGAACCACAGCTCCTGGACATCATGATTGTTCAATTCAGGAATGAAAAAGTTAGTAATCATGGCTCTATACCGATCACCATTGACTGTAACGTTGTGGCCTTCATCGTTTTTGAAGAAGGATTCCACCAGCCCATAAAGCGCACCAAACAGTCAATTTTTCTGGATGTAACGGTGTTTCGACATACACTTGTGGATTAGCTTCGCTCCAAATGCGGCAGCTTTGTTTGTTGACGTAGCCATTCAACCAGAAGTGCGCTTCATCGCTAAACAAAATTCGCTTATGAAAATCGACCATTATTTTCGAAATAAAATTGCACAATTTGAAAGCGTTGTTCAGGCGTGAGTCTATTCATGATGAATTGCCAAACCAAACTGAGAATACATCCCTAGACAGCTGTTAAATCGGTGGCCATCTTGGAAAGTAATGCCAACTTAAACTTCTATACCTGAAAAAAAAAACACTCTTTATATAGATGTCTTTCTGAAGTACGATCTTTTGTGTGCACTTCCAATATTTCGCAGGCTTTGGACAAGAATAAATGGACAGTGTTTGCGAAGGATGTTCTTATATTTCAGGGGATTTGCTTATTTTTATTCCCCTCCCCCAATACATCACATAAGCACGCCTACGTGGAAAACGGTGGCATTGGGGAGCGAATCGTATAACTTTTAATCGGCAGTTAAGGGATTCATTATAAACCGCACAAATTATCAAGATAAGTATTAATTTTTGTATAATTACCACAGCCATGGTGGTAATATTATTACTTATTCTTAACTTAGTATTGTTAAATTAATTATGTGAAATACATTATGTAGTACTGATACTTTTATAAGTGTATTATATCAGTGTAAATGTATACTCTATTTTTTCTTGTGCCAGAATGTATTTTTTGTTTGTTTACTTTTAGTAAATTAGTAATTTTTTAAAAAAATAATCTTTTGTTTTCGACTTTTCAATATGCTCGCGGCCCCCTTGTAGAGTTATCATGCCCCGAAGGGGGGCGCGCCCCACAGTTTGAGGAACGTTGTTTTATGCTGTTTATGTTAAGAAATATCGTTAAGTGATGTAATTGATTGAATATTAACGTCGCACTGTTCTGCTACACGAGGGCTTTTGGCGACGGACCACGTAATTTTGAACCATGGTCAAGTGACGTGGACGACACTTGAGCTGGCACCCCCCTCTCCTAACTACCACACCACACCCACGGGAGGACGTTTCAGCTCTCGACAGATTTAACGTGCATCGCTGCCCTACACGGCGACTCTTTAGTGGTACTGGGCTCGAACTCGTGACAAGGCAAGCCACGGTCCGATACCTATACCACTTGGCAATCGCGGCCACCGTTAAGTGATGTAAAATTAATACATGATAAAACTGTAATTATCTAGATTATTGACTTCTATTCTTCAGCTTCACATGCATTATCACCGCAATCGAATTGTTTAAAAAATATCCTGCGGTGTGACATGCTGAATCATATTGGTAGATTGGTTTGACACACCCCACAGCTAAAAGGTTGTCAGCCCCTGGTTTAGTCATTTAACTTGTCGGGTCCTTTTGTATGTATAAAGAATTGAATAATTAATAATTTTAAAGAAAAATTTTATATTTCAGTGATAACAAATTATTTTCAATAAGAATAGCAACAAAGACAAAACTATAAACTCTTTACGCGATTAATCTGTTCGAATAACAGCATGGCGTCGTTGGAAATTATTTGTTGGTATTTTTGACACGCAGGGAATGAATGTTAATTTGTGAAATTCATATTTTTATTTTCATTAAAAGTTGAGGAGAAATATTTTCTTTTTATATAATTATTTTTGTGATTACTATTATTTTAATAAAAGTTAATTTTTTCAAACAAACAGCTAAATTGTTAATATATATAAGCAACATGTTATTGTACTTTATATCTACCGATAAAGTACACAAAAATAAATTATGCCATTAAAATATAAAGAATAGTAGATTGATAAAAAACATTTAAAAATAGATCTCAGCAAATGTAAAACCTGATACATAATCAATTGATTTTATTACTATTAAAAAATTATACATTTAAAAAACAAAAAAATAATTCAGACACTAAGTTTTACTCATGGAAGGGGAGAAGTATATTTATTTCTATATTTTCATAATTATAAGAATTCACAAAGTGTGAGGAATGTTTTACTAATATGTTTAAAATATACACTAATAATTCAAGACATATATATTTAATAATTACATTTAACCGAAGGGATTTTCACTGTTGCCGCTAACAAAAATCTGACATTTCTTATGTAAATGCCAAAGGTACAAACCGACTTAATATTTTTTCTTAAAAGAAATATTTATCTTCATCTAAAGAAAAATAAATTAGATTTCTGTTGCTCCTTTTTTAAATTTCGCGTAAAATCTTTAAATAATTTAATTAAAAAATATTGTTTAAAAACATGTTGTGAAAGAGAAAAAGAATGTTTTTTTTTCAAAAAATAGATTCTTTTGGGGTGGGGGAGATTTTTACGAATACACTGCAATAAAACACACCGCATAGTTTTTTTACCCAACTTTTTCCCCTTGCTGCTCAAATTTTTACCCAAGAGCCTCAGTAATACAACCAAATGAAGGAACAGAGCTGCCCTCTATCGCATTCCTTATATACTATATTTCTGCTATAAATAACCTTTTGGTTAAAGCGTTGGAATCAGCAGAAAGAAGAACGTGGCGAGAAGTGTGACTTTCTCTCTTGTAATTATATTTTGCGAAATTACTTACAAATTGTTTCTTTGTATGTTTGCGAGTCTAAACTACCGTGGTAGTAAGTTTTGTACCATATTTGACAGTAAAACATTCTTTATTATTTGATTGTTCTTTTTATTGCATGATTTTATAACTCTTGGGAAAAAAAGATTTTTGGAAGTTTCAATTAAACCACTCAAAATTTTGAAGAAATATTTCGTATAACCTCTTTCACAGTTTTTATTTTACTTCTTTAATTTATGTGGTCATCAAATTAATGAAACACCTTTTATTTCATTTATAGAAAATAGAAATATTTGTTTTTTTGTTGTTGTTCGTGAAATATATCATGTTCTTATGTTGTTCCTAATGTGCATCGGATGTAGGCGCAAAAATAAACAGCTAGGCACCGATGGGATTCGAACCCATGATCTCCTGTTTACTAGACAGGCGCTTTAACCAACTAAGCCACGGCGCCGAGCACACACCCGGATTTCATATATAAATTTAAAACTTCTCATATATTTGATGGATATGTTTTTTCATTATTTAATCTTTTAATAAAATAATTGATATATGTGAGGACAACAAAAGGTGCGAAAAAAGTTTTGCGACCATATTTTATTGATTCTTTTAATCTTGACATGTTGATTACATTCTACCATTCTCTTTCTACGTGCCATTATAGTAATATGTGTGGATCCAAATTCATACATTTAAAAAAATATAATTTTGCTCTTTAAAGGAAGAAAACAAAATGAGTTTTCTGAGTATATCATTTAAGTGAAGAATTATCGTGAAGTCAAATAAGTAATTAAATTTAAAAAATATATTTATTGCTGAAAGAATTTAAAATAAATTTGACAATTACTAATACAGATAATAGACCATTAGCAAATCATCGTCAGTGGCGCACACAAAAGGGGGGGATGTCCGGACCCCCCCTAAGCCCTCGACTTTTTTCCGATTGATTATAATTCTAAGTATATAGTACGTAAAATTTAATTAAGTATTTGTTATTAATGATTAGTTTTATTAACTAATGCTAATTATTTGTTCAATAATTAGTTTTTTATTGTGTTTTGTTCCTGAAAATCGACAAAATCAAAGGGATCATGATATAAGAATGGTGAACTTTCGACCCCAGACCCCCTTTGAGAAAATTCCTGTGTGCACTACTGATCATCGTTATGTATTTTAAAAAATTATTCCATCTATTGATAAAATATATACTTAATTTAAATAAATAATAAATTTTAAAAAGTAAGTCTTATCAAAGTATGAGAATAGCGCATTAAAACTTCGATCTTCTTTCGAGGATAAAATAACTCTGATTATAAATATTTCATTTTTTTTTCAGAAAATTTAAGCTTTTTCAACAAATTATTAATTTTTTTTGAGTGTGAACAAGCAATAATCTTATTTCAAAATTTAATCCTAATATATCCAAATATCCTGTATATTAATCCAAGTTCTCAGTTTCGGCAAAGTTGAATATGTATGAATTATTTTAATTATTTTGAATTTAATAGCTAAAAAACGCCTAAAATTCAGAAAAGAATATATTCGAAATGGAATTTTTGTATTGAAGTTTTTTTAAAGTCTTATATGAAGGACAACAAAAACGTGTACAAAAGAGAAAAAAATCTAAAACAATTTTAAAAGATTCATTTAATTTATAATAATAATTTTAATACTTTGTGGAATCAGAATAATTATTGTGATTACGATTTTAAATTTACCATATGCCATTATTACAAGAGATAATATTCACGTTGTATAAAAATTAATGAATAATATGTTGGCTGTGCTTGTATAATTTTGCATATAATTTGTGTAACCTTTCAAGTTTTTTTTTTTTTTTTTTTTTTTTTTACGAAAAATAACATGAAATTTAAAATTAATTTTTAAAAATCAATAGAGTTTCACAGAAAAAAAGAAACGTAGATAATTTTGTATGAAATTCTAAAATTTTTAATAGGAAAAATAATTCTGAGCTTTTTAATAAATATATTTTAAAATGAACTCTTTGGGGGGAATTAATAAAAATCTTTCACTTAATAAATATTTTAAACTATTTGAAACGTTTGCTTGAATTTTGTAAAAAATTACAAAATTACTGAATCATATAGAATACACAGAATTATAAGAAATATATAGAACTGAACGAAGCAATGAAAATAAAAGTAAAATGTGAACTGGATTTCTCTCTCTCTCTCTCTCTTTTTGCCATTAATAATTGGCAGAACTATAACAGCATATTTTACTCACAAAGCTTATAAATGGGTATTCATCTATGAAGCTTTTATTTAAAAATATCAAAGTTGATGATAAATTTATTATACCCAAGAAGTGCCACTGAATTAGGGATAGCAAGGGCTATGCAAATTGTGTAACGCTGCGCATCATTTATGTGCGAGTGAGGGCATTGTGGTAACTTCATATATAGCGCGTGCTGTGGTTGTTCTGAATTAGTTGTTGGAATTGACAGTATGGGTAAAGTGCCTGATTAAGACGCCTTCGATCACGGACAAATCATAGGTGTACGACGCATGATCAATTCAATTTCCGAAATCGTCAGACAGCTAGGATTTTCAAGGTCGACAGTTGCAAGAGTATACCAAGAATTCATTGATGGCGGACAAAAAACTAGCGATCGGGGGAACTGCAAAAGGACAATTCGCCTTCATAGTGTGTGTTGAGAGACGGCTGATGTGTATAGTACGTAGCCAACGAAGCCAAACATTTGTTCAAATTACCGCCCAGTTGAATGACGGTACCAGTCATACAGTCAATAAACGGACTGTCCAACGCTCGCTTCACAGTATGGGTCTTTGGATCTGTCGACCTACAAGAGGACCATTGCTCAATGCTAGACATTGAACTGTACATCTTGCCTGGGCAAGAGAACACTGAGACTGGAGTGCAGAGGACTGGAAACGAGTAGTATGGAGTGATGAGTCTCGGTTTTGACTACTTAACTCCGACAAGAAGCCAAGAATATGGCATCAGGCTCGTGAAGCCATGAATCCCGCATGCCAGGTTGGAACTGCACAAGGGCATGGTGGCTCAATTATGATCTGGGGTGTTTTTTCGTGGTACTGTTTGGGATCTCTGGTGCGTATACCAACCTCCCTCAATGCAAATGGCTATTGGATGATCCCCTCCAACCGTTTATGCTGCTTTGTTATACGCAAGGTAATGGAGGTTTCCAGCAAGACAACTGTACCTCTCACAATTCCCAGTTGGCTACTGGCTGGTTCTATGAGCATTCCTCTGACTTTTCTGTCATAAATTGGCCATCTAGAAGACCAGACTTAAACCCTATTCGAATATTTGGTAAGTTTCCAGGAAGTTGTTGAATAGGCCTCGTCGTGAGGCAGCTAGGGGATGCCCAACTCATTACTAGGAAGGTATTACTAATTCAGTGACATTTCAGAGTATAATGTTTTATTCACTGTATTAAAACACAAGGAACGACTTTTGTCTATAAATTGACTATCCCCCCTCTGATTACTTTTTGTTGACTAATCTCAAGTCCCTGGTTTACAAAGATCACTCCAAGACCCTAGAAGACCTATGGGCAGAAACTGACAATACATGTAGTGTGTTTTATTGCATTTTCAAAACAGGAAGTTCCCACGCCCCATCCTATATAAGTCTAATAATCATGTCGTGATGCATGACATTTTGTGCGTATATCTACTAAGTAGAGTTTTTTTTAATATTTAAGAAAAAGAAATGGATAATTAGGGAAAAACACAATAAGTATGAACTGCTTTTCATATAATTCCTACTTTTAGGTGCTGTAACGTTTTTCCGTCACACAGCTGAAAAGTCGGCTTCTTTTTGTGGATAGGATAACCGTGTTCCTATGCACACATGCACCCTTAAAACATCGCACCGGCAACCTTTGACACCGTGAGAACCCCTTCCCTACTCCACACACGAGCCGGATGTACCTCGAGGATAAAGAGGCCACTATCGTCCGAGACCCTAGAGAGGGCAGAGAGAAGTCCGTTGGGCAACTTTGAGCAAAACAAATGTAATCTCCTCCCTCACAAACAGAATTTGGACTCTAATGAACTAACCAATCATTTTAATAACTTCAACGTATATATTGTAATTAAGAGCTGTAACGTAAATAAACCAAATATTTAAGTTAATGAATATGACGCTACCATTATTTTTCTCAAACACCACAGTGCCCATCAAATGCAAAAAAAAATCCCTCCTTCCCCACTTCCTTACAGTCGCATGCAAACGCTTTCAAAAGTATCTTAAATAAAACAATGCTTATATGTTAGCATAAATTGCATTCCTTAATTTGTTTTGAAGTAGTTGCATATTTTTATAAGAAAAAGTATAAGATTAAAGTATAAGATAAGATATTTTTATAAGAATCTTACACATTCCCGAACCATTTAAATCAAGTTAGATTAATTGCAGAATGAAAAAAAATTAAATCGGAGATACAAGTACATATTATCGATTGGAATGCATTGCTGTAAACTGCAGTAAAATCATTAAAAATAATGTTTAAAAAGGCGGGATAGAGTTATACTAAGGGGTTCATCGCTTAGTAAGTTTTGCAATCTTCACAGATATTTCGAAAAAAATATTTTGAGAAGGAGTATCTGCTAAGGTTTCTACACGAACGATTCATTTTTCTCCTTGGTTTTCTAATAATCCGTTGTGATGATGTTGATGCCGTATCCATGACGGGACTAAATCAGACAGTACTATGAACGCAAATGACTGTTCTGGGAATCTATTCAATATTATCCCCATAGAGGTTCATTAACGAAAACAGGACCCCTATTTCTTGTAGAGCAGCAAGAATAGTTGGACTGTCAAAAATATGAGCAGGTGTTAGGTCTATATCTAAATAGTTATCTCATAATTCCTATAAGATTTTCTACCATCCCTATCAAACTTCATACCTCTGTGCTGACCTGTTCTTAGAAACTAGCAATATTCTTACTTACAAGGCGGTCTACACATATATTACAGATTTGATGCTTTACGGGAATTGACTTCTCTCTCTCAATTTGAAATTTGTGACAACATTTGCGTCTTATAAAATAACGTTGAAAAACTAGTCCTTATTGAGATTTCTAGCTTCTTTCGCCAGTTTATCTGCATTTTCACTGCCTGGAGTGTCAAAATGAGTAGATAGCCATTGGAGGAAACAGAGTTTATCTAACTCCTGTAATCTAAACAGGCGAGAGAAAATCTGTTTAGTAATCCATGAACCTCCATTTAGAATTGCCTGGAGGGCTGCTTTTGAGTCACAGAAAATGACGAGACCTTTAGCCTGTTCTAGAATAGGAAGAATCTCGTATAGATCAAGAGCCTCAATTATCCTCCAATGATCACAGGTGGAGCAAAAGGCAATGGCACCAGCACCGATTATTCGTTGGTAGTTTGCATCACTTAGAGTGGTCATAAATACCCACGAGCCTCCATGTAAGAATG